TTTACTAAAACAGAGATCACACACACAGAAGTTTACACCTTAAAAAAAGGGAGAAGTTTACATCTTTGATTTGATACACATCAAATTTTTTTTCTTTTCTTTCTTTGTTTTAATGCCTTTATGTGCTACAAACTCTCCAGTCCATTCCAGGTTCACCACTTCGGTACCTCACCTTGCCAACTAAACTCATTTGGGTTAGGACCAGAGTGTAGTGCCCTTCCGTATGCTTTAAGTGAAAAAGCAAACTTTGGCTTATTGATCTTAGATAGCTTTCACATTGAATAATGAGTTGTATTTCTGGAGATAGAATGTATCATATTTTTCTGAGAGGAGGTAATTTTGCTTGAACATGTGCTTGAACATATAGTTGATTATAGTGCACTCCTGAGGTTCTCTATATCCTTTTTGAAAGAGTGAAAAAAGTAATGGGAATGAATCAAATTGGTTAAAATATATTTTGGTCATCTGCTATTTGCCAAGTGATTTGCAAGAAATAAAGAGAGACAGGAACTCACATTTACTATGTTTAGTATGGGCTGGAAATTTGTGCTAAGCACTTCACATGCTGTTGCTGTTTGTTGCTGAGACAAAATACCCAACACCCAAAGATAAAGGAGGAAAGGTTTATTTGGTTCACAGTTTATAGAGGTGGGCTCAGTTCATAGCTGGCTGGCTCCAAGGCAGGGTGGCTTGGCAGAGGAGCATCACAGAGGAGAAACAGTTCATGGCAAGCAGAAGGCAGCAAGCAGCAAGCTACAAGTGACATGAAACGACCCTCTTTCTATCCCTTATACCTTATCCAGGCTACTCACCTTACTCACACCCCGGGAGGGGCGGCATTCATCCCTGCATCTCACCATGAATCAATCACAGCGTCACATCCTTGAAACCAGCATCACACACCCTAGATCCAGCCACCCCTGAAAAGCCCACCTATGACCATGCAAGTCTTGGGGAGACATCTAGATATAAGCCATAACACACATGTTATTTTTTAATAATTTTCACAGTTACTCTATGGCAAGCAAGGAAGGAATTTCCATCCACTCTATAGCTGAGGAAATTGAGGCTAAGAGAGTTTAAGTGACAGGTCACACAGTTACTGTGTGCCTGACATGGCTTCAGACTCAGGTCTTCCTCACTGAAGCCAGGCTCTGTCTACCTCATTACACCTGGGCCTCATTCAAGGCAGTGGTCTGGCTAAAGAAAGAAACTTATTCTCAGATTAAAATTTATCTTTATTTTTGAAAAGTTTGGGAACTTTATAGCAATTCTTTCTAAGAGATCTAGGCAGAAGGGATGCTAAGGCTCCAATACTATTGAATTATGTGTTCAGTAACAGCTACGGTAAAAAATAGGCTCCCTCAGAATGGGAGAAAATCTTTCTCAGCTACTCTTCCAACAGAAGATTAATATCTAGAATATATTTAAAAATTCAGAAAACCTAATACCAAAAAAACAAATAGTCCAACTAGTAAGTTGGCAAATGAACTGAATAGACATTGCTCAAAAGAAGTACAAGTGACCAATAAGTATATGAAAAAATGTTCAATATCTTTAATCATCAGAGAAATCAAAACTGCACTGAGATTCCATCTCACCCTAGTCAGAATGGCTGCCATCAAGAATACCAGACACAATGAATAAAGGATGAGGACACAAGTGGAAGGGATAGAAGCAGTATTTCTGTACTGCTGGTGGGTATGTACATTAGTACAGTCACTATAGAAATCAGTGTGGAGGTTACTCCAAAACCAAAAAGTAGACCTACCATTTTTGTCATTTGCAGGAAAAGTGGATGGATCTGGAGACCACTGTGTTGAGTGAAATAAGCCAAACTCAAAAAGACAAATACCAAATGTCTTCCCTAACATGTTGAATCTAAAAAATATGAGAAGAAAGCAGAAAGGAAAGCAATATTAGGCAAGAGAAAGGGGAGAAGGGAGAGGAGAGGAACTATAAGGGAAGGTAATGGGGGAAAGAGGATCAAAATATGTCATTGAAACCCAATATTTTGTAAGAATTAATAGGCATTAATAATGCAGAAAAAGTGTAAAAGAAACAAAAGAAAAAGTAAAAAAGAGGCTGGCAAAATCATCAAGGAACCACCAAAGATGTAGTCTTACGTGTTTTTTATTTTCTTATTTTAAAGAGAATAAAAAAAATTTTAAAACATTAAAAATGATACAGAATTTCAAAATAAGATAATAGGAAATCAGCAGTGGTTGTTATATTGCATACTGTTATCTTCAAAGTAGTTGTTCATTTTTAAGAATAAGGATTGACTTCCAAAACAGGCTATGTTAACAATGAGGTTAAGGGCTGGGGATTTAGCTCAGTGGCAAAGAGCCTGCCTGGCAAGCGCAAGGTCATGAGTTTGATTCCCGGTACTGGAAAAAAACTTAAAAAAAAAGAGGTTAAATGTCATCACTTGCCACCATGGTTAGATGGGATTGCAGCCTGAGAACTTGGATCTTGTTTGTCCATGTCATAAAATATCACCTTACTGAGGGCTTATTACTATGCTTTATTATATACATGTCTTCAGTTAACTTTCATAATAAGTTTATAAAAACTGTTATCCCAATTTTGTAGGTGAGGAAACCAAGAAGTCAAAATATGTGGTTAAATACATATAGTTAAGAGAAGGTAGCTCTTGGACTCAAACCCAAGTCTGAGTCCTCAATCTTGATCTGACTGTGCTCCCTCGCACACAGAGAACAAATGGAAGCTACTACCACTGTGTTTTGGAAACAGCACAAAAGACAGTCTGCATAAAAGTTAATTAGTGACAATTTGTAATAGAAAAAAGCTACTTGAGTTGGAGTTTTTCTTCTTAAGCTCTTCAATGTTATTTCTAGGAATATCCATTTCATAAAGAGCGAGAAGTTGAATATGTTGATTTGCTTAGAAAAAGTTGATTACTAGGAGTGTCTCTAACTTCTTAATTGCACACATATTGGAACAGATTTAAACTGTCTCTATTTAGCCACTGAGGTAGAACCCATTCCATAGCTGATCTATGTTAGTGGCTTATCCCTTCAAAGAATAACTTAAATTTAAAAGTGTAAAATAAACTCTTAAGTGATGGTACATGCCTGTAACCCCAGAATTCAGGAGTCTGAGTCAGGAAAATTGCTGAGTTTGAGGCCAGCTTAGGTTACATAGTGAGTGTAAGGCCAGTCTAAACTACTGAGTGAGAACCTGTCTCCAAAAAAAAAAAAAAAAAAAAGGGTCAAGTCATGTCCTTTAACTCCACCAAGTAGAATTACATCTGAAGAAAGAATTAATGGTACTGCAAGAGAATATATAAGTACTAAATGAATATGGAAAAGCAGACATTATGGTGGTTTATAGGAAGGAGAGATCTACTAAAGTATGAAGATCAAAAAAAAGCAAACAGATGATTAAGAAAGAAGGTTTTGCATTGCACAGGGCAGATTTGAATCAACATTGATTGCCCTCAGCAAAGTATTTGACTGCATGAAAATTTTGAGATTAAATAATAAATGTATTTAGCCTGATACCTTGGTTGTTATTGGTGTAATTTAATGATCTGTTTGTCTATCACTGTCCTCCCTTAGCCTGTAATCTCTTGGAAAATGGGGTCCACACCCTGCCCATCTTTGTGTCTCCCGGCCTTTCATACCATGCTTATGTTCGTCCACATTCCTGATGTTTACTTCTGTGTGAAGAACATCCCACCTCTCTCCACTCCCGACATACTTCACAGGAGGAGAAGTAAATGATTTGCCTGACTGGTGGGTCAGGAAGGGCTTCCTAGGTGCTATCTTCCCGTTCTCTTGGGAATTCATGCTCTACAGGGCACTGAGGAAGGACCAGCTGTGGAACAGGTCCTTCCTTAGTGCCCGAAGGAAGGGAGCGCATAGTGTCTCTTCTACTCTTCCGTGTTATTAACCTCACTGTCCAGTGCCACCGTGACTATGTGGGCAGATCTACTGGTCGTGTGGACACATTTCCACACAAATAGTGGAGAATAGGTAGATTCGATTCAGACTGTGGAAGAGCACATGTTACAGCTTTACAACCTGGCATGTCAGCAGATTCTTTATAATGTATAGATGATGGTCCACACCTCTACTCCCAAAGTAATATTTGCTTCTGTTTTCTTTGATATTTGAATACTTTTGTTGTTTGAGGAAGAAAGGAGGTTGTTTCAGGATTGTTGTGTTTTGATTCTGTTGAGATAAGGGTGAGGTATCAACATTTTAAATGTTGTGTTCTTTTTAAAGCTATTTTACACTAGAGTAATAGTAGATACATCATTTGAACAACAGACCTGCTAAGACAGTTTTTTGGCAAGTGTGGTCCCAGGACTCTCTACCTTAGATCACCTGGAGAGCTTTCAAAATGCAGATTCCTGCGCTCCACCCCTAATCTGCCAAATCAGAGTCCCTGAGGGGAATGCTTAGGAATGTGAGTTTGTCATTGCTTTTTCATTTGCTCTTTATATTAAGGGCATCACCTGTGAACAAGTGCATTCAACTTGAATGTAAAGAAGAGCAAATTTGTGTGTCATAGGGGTAGTTATTGCTAAACCTGGCTATTAACCATCCAGATTACTGCTATGGTCCTTCTTTCTTACAGAACAAGGAAACACTGCTTACTCAGACACCGATATCAAAACCTCTACTGGGCCTTTCCCATATGTGGGCGTTTTGTGTCTTACCAATAGGTCTTATAAACAAAAACTAGAACAATAATCAACGGTTTTAAAAACATTTTTAAAAATACAAATAAATACACACTTTAAAAGAACAACAAAAAACGTTTGCAGTTGTTCAGCTAAACCATATCTTAATCAGGTTTTCCTCTTCCCATTCTACGTGACCGAAGGGAACCTCAGGGAACTCACCAGGAACCTGACCAGAGGAACCACCTTAAGGAATCATTTGCAAGCTTACATCCCGCCACCCCATCTTCCTTCTTTTTGCAAGTGCAAGAGACACTGCTTAGACCGGCTTTGTTTCTTTTCATAGATCATGCAACAGATGAGTGACCACCGCTATGACAAGCTCACTGTGCCTGATGACATGGCTGCAAACTGTATATATCTAAATATCCCCAGCAAAGGACATGTCTTGCTGCACCAAACCCCAGAAGAGTATCCAGAAAGCGCAAAGGTAAAAACGACTTTCCTCCTGGCCACTGCATCTGGGTGGGCCGCCACGGGGATTATTTTTAGGATAGAGTGACAAATGGGATCTTCCTTTTCCTCTATATGCCTCAGAAAGAAAGCAGAAGGGATAGTTAGGACACAGAGAAGGTTTATGTAACTCAGTTTTCTCCTTTATGTTATCAGTCACTGGAGCCTTTACAGTAGTTGAGACAATCATACGTGATATTCAAAGCTTTTCAAATAAGTACCCCAACAACCCAAGTCCGTGCCCAGCTCTGATTAAATATACCTTTCCACACTAATACCTACAATCAGATGGTCAGCTGTTCCTTGTTTTCTGACAAATCTGACCCGCCGCTTAGTAGTTTCTTAAGGCAGAGGAGTATGAATGACCCTCAGAGGGTGTGCTCACTGTCAAAGCTGCAGAAAGGGGACTACATATCCTAGGAGGTGCAAAGGTAGGGCACGAAGAAATGTGGCACGCTTGCAAACTGGCAAGCTGGTCCTACCAGGAGTCTCTGCACTTGTTGTCCCTGAATCTGGAATTCTGCCCTTGTCAAAGAAAATCTCCCTTATCTCTCAAGGCACTATGCCAGGGTCCTAGTATACCTTAGTAATCTCAATTTATCCTATGAAGCAGATTGAACAGTGCTCAGCTATCAATTCCTCAAGCGCATATCTTCTAGGCACTTCAACTCCTTCGTCTCTGAGGAACATTTACATGAAGCGTTACAGAAGAGCCTTTAGTAACCATTGACTTCTGCCCTGAAAACATTAGGAACATTACAAACACTTACAAAATGTGCAGTACTGTACTATGTCGTTACTAGGTTTACCCTCTTAATTTTATCGCTAATCTTTTACCAGATAAAAAGTGAAAGGTGGGGAAAATATATGGATAATTTCTCTCTATGTCCATGGCCAAAAGTGTGAGCCAGCAAAAAGTGTAAAATTCCTGACCTCAGACTGCAGCTTGACGGTGGACCTCACGCTCTAAGCGGCCCAGGGTTGTTAAACCTGGACCCCCGGGGTAGAATCGCCTGACTACCACACGATCAGTAACTGCTTCCTCATTTAGCCTATCAGCAATATCAGTAACAGTAATAAAACCCTCATGAATATTGATAACATCCCTGTGGGTCGCTTATGACTAAGGGCTTCTCTGGTGTCAGGACCTATGCCAAGCAAGCACAGGCATTGTCTTTATAACAGCCCTGGGAGGCCAGTTTTATTATTTCGGCATGAGGGAGAGGTAAATGGTGCAGAGGGGCAGTCACTTAACTGAAGTCATATTGTAAGTTGACACCACTGGGTTTGGAAACTAATTCCAACTGCTTCCAGCACTCTTAATTAACCACTGTGCTGAACTTTAAGAAGCTTCCCCTTCAAAAAAACATGGTAGATTGTTTCTAGGCAGTGTGTTTTCAAGTGATTTTGTTTTTAAAAGTGTACTTTCTTTGATCACAAAGAAAAATCTACGGACTGTTAAATCGAACTTTTGAAACACACTTTCCATTAGCATTGAAAGATGCTACAAAATTCACACCTATAACTTGAAAGCAGTGTGATATGAAGTAGTCACTTAAATCACACTTTGTCAAATTTTCCCAGTGGTTTCAGCAAGGAAAGAAACAATAAAGCCTAATTGAGAGGGCTTTCAAGAATGGAGAAGGAGAAGTGTTCAGACTGAACGCACGGCCACTGACTTCATTCACTTTAGCCAGCAATGACAGTAGCAAAGTAAAGGCATTTTCTAGCCACAACCACATTTCTGACACATCTTCAGCTTTGAGGTTAAAGCATAGAGCTCGCGGTTAACCAGTTGTCACCAGCTGTATGGGGAGGGTTGTGCAGAGGGGAGGCTACGTGTGTGCTGGGGTTAATTGAGTGAAACCCTTAGCCACACAAACTGAATTAATTCTCCGCACCTGGGGGTGGCGAAACGGGCAGAAATGTAATCCTCCTCTCCCTTCCCCTCCATTCTCATTGTAGGTTTATGAGAAACTGAAAGACTATCTGCTAATCCCCGTGAGCATTTCTGAACTGGAAAAGGTGGATGGGTTGCTCACCTGCTCCTCAGTTTTTATTAACAAGAAGGCGGACTCCTGAGCCACAGAGTCCCTTCCTTGCAGCCCGCAAGAGGCCCTGGGCCAGGCTGATGACTCTGTCCCCACTCCCTTTGTTTTTCTTGACAATCTACTGTGCCACTGTGCTACTAACTCTTGTTTACAAAAATTTAATTCTAAGTTTAATTGCTTCGTTTTCGGCACCCTCACCTCCCTTTCCCTCTCAGTGGTACCTAAGCTGTGGATGTGCTAAATGAATTAAGCGATCTAGAAAATATAGAACTAATGAGTCATTGACATGTGATTAATAAGAGTATGGAAACACTCATTTTAGTGTTCGCATTATCTGTGTGAAAATCGTTTAGTTGCAGTATATTCCCGAGAATATCTTCTTGATCAGTCAGATAAGCTAGCTTTTTTCCTCTGTATCATGAATCATGTTTGGTTCCTGTAAAATTCCTGATTCAGTGATTCTCCCATTTCTCGCTCTCTTTTCCTTCTGAAAACCTTTTTTCCAAGTACTTTCCTTTGCCTTTTTATCACAGCCACCTTAACCTTGGGTAAAACAAACCCAAGGTCTGGCATTGCGGACACTTTCATGCAGGTCAACCCGGCCTGCCTGCAGTCTCCTCTCCCTCCCAGCAGACACATCTTCTGTCACCACCAGCCCCAGGGGACCAAACAGTTCTGCTCAGCAGAACTGTGACCAAAATCAGAGTGGCTGCCTCGGGCAGTTTAGCTACAGAGGCACATCCTCACAGGCTTCGCCTGGGAGATCCAAATTCCAGAAGTAGGGCGCCACACCCAGGAAGGTAAATTCCGCACCACACGGTTGCTAAGGGCTCTTAGATCTCAAAGCACGGAAACTCCCCATGGGTACAACGTCTTAGAAAGTGTCTAGGTCACATTCCATGAGTTTTTACCTCATTACTGTTCCAGTAGGACCTGGGAGAAAGACTTATTTTTTTTCTTCAGCTTATTTCTGCTTCCCCCTCCCCTACTGACCCTATTTCCAGCCTCCAGTCCTTACAATTATCCCGTTCTCCCAAAGTCATTTCTTTCCGAAGAGACATCTAACAATGATTACTGGTGGCCTGGTGAGGGCCAGAGGTAGCGGCCCCACATGGTCAAGGACCAGATTCAAGAAATGATCAACTTGGTGCCTGAAACGAACTGCAGACGGGGTGATTCTACTTTGAAATAGCCATGCATACTTACTTACTGTGGAATGCAATGAAAACTTTCTTCTCTACCCTTCAAGTTGCACAACTTCCAACAGACATGCGTGTCTTAAAAAAAACAGTGCCACAATGAAGGTAGAGATCATTCTTCTATGTAGAGTTGAAGGAACCAGGCTAGGGATATGGTACTTACCAAGGAATGGTGACTGATCCAGGCATGCTATCAAACCTCCTAGTCATCTCCACCTTTCCTGTATTACCTTGTGGCTTGTTTAAGATTTAAAATCAGGGAGATGAAGAAATATTATTTCAATTCTCACTCTGCTCACTTCTGTGTTTATAGTCAAACCACCATTATGGTGGTGAACAAGAGAGAATTACCTTCGCTTGCTTTACACCCCCTCAGCTGGTGGAGATGAGGAGCTGCTGGGAAAATGAAGAAACCTTTAGCCACTATCTTTTTCATTTACATGATGCTTTTACGCCAGTGATTTGAAGAAATATCTTCTCTGCCTTCTCTTCCTTATTGTTTAACTTTAAGATTCACATCACAAGCCGGGCGTGGTGGCACATGCCTGTAATCCCAGCACTTGGGAGGCTGAGGCAGGAGGATCCTTGTGAGTTTGAGGCTAACCTGGGCTACAAAGTGAGCTCAAGTTCAGCCTGAACTGCATAGCGAGGCCCTGTCTCAAAAAGACAAATAAATAAATAAATAAATTTTAAAAATAAAATTCATATCACATGCAAATACCTACCAGTGAGCATCCTATGAGTGAACCATATCCTGGTCACAATCATATTTTGAAACATCTCATGATGGGTGAATAATGTTTTTACAGAGAGAATAACTGTTAGCCACATGCTCAAGTTAATAAAGAAAAGTTGTTCTCAGTAATTAAGGTTGCCTTCTTGGGTTAAATCTGGCCCTACACTGGCAAAAAGCAGAAATTCTCCCTGGGAGAGCTCGCCAACTCAAAAACAACCACAAGAAAAACAACCCAATCAGCCACTTTAGGCTAACTGGCATGTAATTTTCAATAGCATTCCTTCTGTCATCGCTAAAATTAAAGAACTGTTCTCTGTTATGTTTAGTTAACTGCAAATGAGTAATTTTTCTTCTTAACAATTTACTCTGCCGAAGGCAGTTTTGTATTTTCCCTTTCCTTTCCTTCTTTTCCTTTCCTTCTTTCCCTTTCCTTCTCTTTGTCTTGAGAAATCACATAGTTGCTTTGTTCCTCTTTTACCTCTTATTCTCCATGGCTGTGTTACCCACCAGGCTGGCTTCTTTTGACTCCCCATGTAATACGAAAATGTGAAAACCTAAAATATTTGCAGAAGTATTACTTGTTTGAGGTTCTCATCAGCATAACGTTTTCTTTGAAAAAGAAAGATACCCATTACATAGATTCCTTTCTCATCCATTGTGACTTGTAAGGATGGATAAACAGACAGTGTTCTTGGACATTATAAAAATGTGAGGAATTATATTTAAGTACGTAAAAGTTGAGTCAAAAATTTTTGATTAGTATTACTCAGTTTAATAAAGAGACAATGTAGAGCAAATACATTATTTAGCATTATTTCTTTAACTATGATGGATTGCTATAGAAATCAGTGGGCAGATCTCTCTAATGTGTATTGATTGCTCATGTAAGCTACTGTGAACACATTACTACGGCCATTTCTTTATCTTTAAGGGGGAAAGTAGTCTATAGATGAATAATATGACTTATGTAGAGTTGCATGTCAGTCTTCGTAATTATTTAACATGCTACAAAGTTCAGATATTATTTCAACATGGTGTTAGATTTGTGCATTTTACTTTCCTGCCCATCTTGTTCCAGCCGATGTATGGATCCACTCTGTGTGCCAAAACCAGTAATGCCTTTGATGCCCCATTAGTCCAGAGAAGTTCTGCACTGATTTAGTCTCCTGCTGTCCCAATTCTACATGTATACGAATCACGATGGAATAAAGTGTGAGTTGTACTGTGATCAATGGTGTGTGTCTCGTTTTTGTGACTGAATCTGCCATGGGGAAGGAAGTCATCATTCCTTTGCTATTAATCATAGGATATTTTCTTTCTTGACCTATAGGCAATAGCATTAGAAATTCTGTACCTATAAATCAGCTACCATCAAAGCAGATTAAAACAGTATTTGAAGTGATGCTTCATAGTTTAGTCACTTAGAAAATATGCGTATTATCCATGCTAGGTCAGGATAGCTCGATTTGACCTGTACTTCTCTTTGAAAGCATCTGTCTCTTATTCACTTTAACTGCTAACTGTAGTCAGCATGTTATGTAGTTCCGTTATGAGGGAACTAGAATGATTTTTTCTTATGCAAGCATTTGCCTTTGCTGTACAGTAAGCGTTCTTTAGGAAATTTGAAGGTTTTTTAAAATGAGCCTTTTTGCAATGAGCTTTAAGCTCAATTTTTACTTGTTAAAAATAATAGCTGCTCACTGTAAAAATAAAACCCAAAAAACTATAACAAATAAAAGAAAAAATTACTCAAAATTTTATCACCCAGAGATAACTACAATTACCATTTCAGAGGATATCCTCACATTTATGAACAGATATAAATATGGAATAATTTCCATAGTCATACTGGTCTGTAGTCTGTTTCCTTCACCTACCAATATACTGTGGGCTTTATTCCATCTCAGTGAATATAGATCTACATCATCAATTTTAACAGCCCTGAATATTCCACAGTACAATTGTTGAGGCGGCTCTTTCTTAATTACACAGAATGTTATATCACAGATGGTCAGTATGCCCACATCGCTATTAGCTGGGAATTTTCAGGGTATCAAAAATGGGCTGCTTGTAAGCTTGAAGCTAGTTCAGTCTGGTGTACTCTTACCATAACTGAATGGTACACTGAGAACGCTCACTGAGAAACTGCACTGCGCAGTACTACGATTCCCTGGGATTGATCTAATCACATCTTCTCCACTGATATTGTTGCATTAATTAGTTCTGCATCATCTGGATTGGCACTGGCAGTGGAGCTTTAAAAAATGCCAAATGCCAAGCGCCACCCCTGTCACCTTGCACTGGGCCCCACAACAAACAGAATTCTCTACCTCAGTACCAGAGCACCTTGCTCCTCCCACTGCAGGAAAGGAGGTCCTCCTTAAGACAGGTTAACAGAGGATGCCAAACACATCCTCCTCTCAGCAGTGAGGGAAGAATGATGGAAATACCTTCTCGTGACAAGCTTCAGATCCTGGAAACAGGAATTGTGCCAGAGGAAGAATACTGATCACCAATAGTTTTAGACAAGTGAGTGCATTTTTAACAAGTGCCCACAACCTTCCAGGCTCCTGCTTTTGGAGCACTGACCATTTGAGAGGAGCTGGGAAGGACAACTGCACAAGTGTACACACGGTGTGACACCATAGCAGGTAAGACGAAGACCATCGATAACAGCACTGCAGCGGCTCCCAAGTCAGGGAGACCAAACAAGGGATCAGACCTGGGTTCAGAGAGACATCTCTGCCTTCCACAGATCAAGACGGGGGTACAGGTGTTCTTGGCTGAGGGAACATCAGGAGCAAAAGGCATAGAGGTGGGGAAGCATCGTGGGTGCTTCAGGAGCAAGCATTTGTCGAGAACTTACTGTGCCAGTTACCTCTGTTAGGCCCTGGGGACAGTTCCTGCTTTCCTGGAGTTTACATAAGGCAAGGAAAATACACACGAAGCAAGTTACAGCACACGTGGTGCGCATTATGAAAAAAGAACAGGGTGCACAGACCAGACAGTAGGTGATAGCAAGGGGATTTGTTTGGCTAAAACACCAGATAAATAGAAGAGCATGGTGAGGCAGTGTAGGTCGGCCCTGCCTGCTAAGTTAGGTTCTTTGGACTGAATTTGACAGTCTGTGAGGGTTCTGCAAGGACTTCTGTGTCAGGAAATGGTATTATTGGAGCTTGATCTGGCAGAATTGCGAAGGACAATGGGAAGCAAGAGGGATGTTTCTAAGTTCAATTTCTATGAGGTTAACTTACTTAGACATCTCTTCCTATCACAAATGAGAAGCTGAAATCCAAACAATTAACTCTATTTGCTGTTCTAAAAAACAGGTTAATCACACCTTCCCCTCCCAACTCCAAAGAGATATTTTCAATGCAAATG